TATTTCTGTATGATTACCCTTGGCAAAAGTTATCTTATTTGCTTATTTGTTTGTCAGTTGCAGTTCCCAAATCAATTCGTTTATTTATACCAATCATTTCAAATCATATTTAAGATCTTTGATGATTTTAAAAGTTGATTAGATGGGGAAGTGTCATTTGATTGGTTTAATGGCTTAATGGACATTCTAGAAGCGCCACATTGTTCGCCTGTTAATGACTCACCCATTTGGTGGAGGAGCAGTTTCCCGGAGTTACCCCCCCTTTTCCGACCCCTTTTTTGGCCACGACTGCACTTTGTGTCAATGTTATGCACATCAGCCGTGGCAGAACGTCAATGGCAGTCAGTGTCTTTGCCATTCAGCCTGTCACTCAGCCAGCCAGTAGACATTGCCGAGATGAAGAAGGCTCACACGCTACTTAGTCCGCAAAATTGCCGACTCCGGCATTTTGCATGTGCGTATCGTATATGCGCTCATGCCCTCGCCTTTTCCCGCTTTTCCTTCGCTTTCCTCGGCTTTTCCTCGAGCCTCGATACTCGATTTTCCTACGGCGAAGGAGCTCGCCTCCTTGCACAGTTGTTTGCATTGCAGCGGCAGATGCTGTCAATAATAAATTTCCGTTAGAGCCGCAGCAGATTTGCAAAAGGGAAAACCAGTTGGCTCGCCAGGCGGCACGTTCAGGGTGGCACAAACAGGGAGGGAAATCAGGGAGGCAAGGAAGGGAGAGGAAAGGAAGGGAAAGGAAAGGAAAGCCAGGAAGGAAGCACATAAGCGCATTGCCCAAGACAAGAAGGAGATGGAGATTGAGGAAAAGGAAGGAGATTGCAGCTCGGCACTAAAAAGATGACATAAAGATAGAGACGGGCGGGTGTTGAAATTGAATAGGGGTAACGAAGCGTCAGTTTCAGAGGGGAGTGGAATGGGAAAGGGACAAATCGAGGAAAAGAGGAGGAAAGGGGGAGCAAAAGGGGAGCAATATGAAGAGAGAGGTGGTGGGGCAAAAAAACAGAAGCAAAAAGGGGCCAAGGAAAAACTCGCACTGCAGGCATGCAAACGATGCGCTGTCGCCTGATAAAGTATACGACCGATTGCCCGTTTCTGCTCGACGGGCCAAAAGGAAAAATCGCAGACGCTCAGCCAGACAGACGGTGGATGCAAATGGAAAATGGAAAATCATCAGGAGGAGGTTTTTTCGGGGGAAATGGCGGGTAGATCCATGGCATCATGATGGAGAGAAGGAGCCAAGCCAAGACACGTTGATAAATTTATTGAAATTCTATTGAAACGAAACGATTTGACTGCGCCAAGGACCAAGAGAAATGGGTAAGAAAAGGCAAGGCAGCGAGAATAAGACAGGGAGACCCACACAAATCGCTGATAAAGTGGAAAATGAGTGCAAAACAAAAAGTAAAGTGCAGAGGGAAATTGTCTCCATGTGGAAAGGGCCATCGACTGAGTAAATTGCAAATAAATTGCATGATACAGTGCACTGCAGGAAAACGTCATTGAAACATTTGTTACCATATTTGCTTGTTATTGGAAGAGTCGAAAGATAGTCGGCAAAACAGTAATCAATTTCTATCAAAGCTAACATTTTTTGTTATCCTTTAATAATTATTTATTTTCACCTTTTCTTGGGTAGTGTAGCGTAGTAGTGACAATGTTTGTAGCCGATAATAAACAATTTATCGCCCATTTTAAGGGGTTATATACCTTTTTGACCAGAAAAAAACAGGGTTTTCATTTATTTTTTTTAGCATGTTGCCATTGTTTTATTTAAATTCAATATATATTTTATCAAAGTACGTGTCCTTAACTTTATTTGTCTGAAATTTTGAGTGAAAATTTTGAGAATTGTGGAAGTTATAGTCCTTGCCGCAGAAGTCCTTTTTTCATTAGAGGCTTGCGGTGAGCAAGAAAACAAGAAAACGGCTCAACAAAAAAAAAAAAAAAAAAAAAACTACGTTAGTATATAGTGTTACCTAGTTCGTGAACGAAGGATTTTACGAAAAAAAAATTTTTACAGTTACAGTGATTATTTTTTCAAAAAAACCGATTTTTCGAGGTCTAATAATTTAGTTTTTCGACCCAAAAAAATAGAAAAATTTATCGAAAATAAAATTCCTTCGTTCACGAACTAGCTATTGTATCTACAAACAATCCCCCAAAATTTCAAATCGATCGATGTAGTGGTTACCGAGATATCGTGCTCACCGCAACGACCTTTTCTCAAAAATGCGATTCCGAGATAATCGCGGTTAAAGTTTTAGGTGGACATTAGGTAGTCATGCACACCGTGCGCTATGAACGGCTGTATCTTAGGTTCTAGTGCCCCGATCTCTAAAAAATTTTGCAGAAAAATTGTTGAAAGTATGTACATCAAAAAAAAATCATAAAATTTTTTTCGATTTTTTGATTCTGAAAAAGGTATATAACCCCTTAATTGACTTTTTTACCACATTATTTAATACGAGGTACTTTTTTTTGCATGTTTTTTGAAACGATGCCAACCACCAGGGCAATTAAACTTTGGCCATTGCATAAATTTGATCCTGTTCTAGCGGGCGGCTTTTTATAGGTATTTCGCCTGTTTTGCCGTGGCTTGAGCCACAACAAAATCTTGGCAAACTTTGCACTTAATTTTTAATTTTCTTCCATTTGGCCTTTGACCGGCCGCGCTGGACAAGCGATGCTCAATTTAACCTGGACAAGGAATAAGGAACCAGGAAGCAAGAGCCAGAGAGAATGAGACGGAAAAGCGAGCAACAAGCAGATGAAAATGCTCGACTGAGTTCCGCAGTAAAAAATAAAGAAAAGTCGGAAAATCTCGGCTCAAAGAAGCAGCCGCATTTCTGTAGCATACTTAAGGGGGCCGTCCGTGGAAAATGATGGAGGAGAGACAAAAAAAAAGATATGGAGAATGTCGGGGGGTTGGGGGGCGTAGAAAGGCCAAATTTAATTTGTGCTCAGTGGCTGTGGCAACTCTGGGTGCTGATGTTGTTGTTTTTGTTGTTTTTGTTGTTGTTGTTGTTGCTGTTGGACCATGAAGAAATTGCTACCCAATTACGTAATAAAATCTGACTGAAGTTTCTACTCTTATTATTTAATTTTTTCTTTATCTTTGCCTCTCCTTCTTATCTCCTCAATGGGGAGCAAATTGTTCGAGGGGATTTGGTGGCGCAACCAGAACAAAAAAAAAAAAAAACGAATTACACCATGAAGAAAGGTGGAAAATTCGCGGGGACGCTGATGGAAAATCCCGCTAGGCGCTTATTAAGAAATAATGCTGTAAAAACAAAACGCAATGGCGTCAAATCAACTTTTGTTTTGCCTTCCCATCTAGCTGTCTGCAAAATATAAAATGAGCCAAAGTACAATGAAAATAAATAAACAGAAAATGACAAATGAAAATTCGTTATAAGCCTAGACGAAAAGCTAATGAGGTCGCACTTCAAGAACCTGAGACCTATAAAGAAAATATACAAAATTAAAAGGGTTATACAATTTAACTCAAAAAAAAATATATGTACATATATTTCAAATTTAATTTCAATTGTTAAACAAAGTCAATTAACGTGTTTTGGCGAACGCAAACTGTCCTTTTGTCCACCAGAAAACAGAAAGAAAAACTAGTAAATCAGTGCCAAGCCTAAAAGCGGCACGAAAATGTGTAAAAACCCGGGAAAGCGGAAAATTCTGGCTAAGAATCAAGTACCCCGGGCAATATTAACTGCCCTGTGGTGCAGCTTAGTACGTGCAAAGAGTATTCCTGATTTCTCACAAAAGTACATATTACGTGTGTACATCACTGGGTTTGTAATTTAAGTACATTTTGTGTATGCAAAAAAGCCGCTTTCTGAAATCCCAGGTGTACTTTCCAGCCCCAGAGAAAAATTATTTTAGAAAGCGAGGGAAGCCTGAGCTTTTGTGGACAATAAATAAGTCGTCAAATTAAATTATGCATGTTCAGTAAATTAGAAAAACAAAAACAGGAGTCAGAACCACAAAACAAAACAACTAAAAAGCGACAAAATAAAAAAGCGATAAATGAAGCCAGCCAGTTTTTTGCAATATCTAAGGAAGTACCAAAGTATCAAATTCTAAATCCGATGGTATTCACACCTAAAACTTTGATCAAATGGTGCCCAAAGCAGTACTTGGTTCCGCTGTAAGTCACTTTTTGGCCTTATTAGAACCGAAAAACCACTCCAAATATAGTGTTTTTACCTAAATTGCTGCAAGGTTATATAAGCTTCGGCTCACCGAAGCTAGCTGCCTTGCTTGTTTTTCTTCTTAATATCGAAATTGTGGAAATACAGAAATATATATTCAAGGCGATATTCGCAACGCTTTTCCTGCAATTGCCAATCAATGTGCAATCTTCTCTGTTTCTGCGAATGTGTCTGTTTGGTATCTAAGTGTTTGTGTGTGCGAAAGGCAATAATCATAAAAAACCGTCAAACGCTTTGTTTTTCTTCTCGAGAATTGAGGCAATAATGCTAAAGGAGAAACGAAATTCGAGGAGGAAAACTCGGTCCTGGCTTGCGATTATTTTGCCATTACTTTCCATTATTTTACTTTATTTCAATGACTGTTTACATTAGACATACACTCTCGCACAAAAACACACACATACACACACACACATACGCACACTTGAACAGAGAGAAATCAGCAGATAAGTGCTGCATACTTTCGAGCGCGTGAGCTGCTTATTTTGGTCTTTTGCCTCCACTTCCTGCCTTTGTTTGCCCTTAATGTGCGTGTGTGTGTGTGTATGTGTGTTTTTGTGTGCTAAGTATTCTTGTGTCTGTGTGAGCCACTTTACTTTTGCTTATTGAGCTGGGCAAAAGGCAACAGCAATACTTAGGTACTTTGATTTCGCCATACACTTTTTGTCTTGAGATTTCTATTCGTTTTCGTTACGTATAAAATTGTATCTCTATATTTCTTAATAGCCATTTGAATCAAGGATTTCTCTGTTTGCTTTCCAATTGCAGGCGGAGATTTGGAGCGTATTCATTGCCATCCTGCGCAAAAGCGTCCGCAATCTACAGGCCTGCACCGATGTCGGCCTTATCGAGCATGTCCTCGTTCGCCTGCAGCGCTCCGAAACGGTTGTGGCAGGTAAGAAAGACCTTTAAGATAAATATAAGTAATTCTTAATTCATATTTATCAAAAATAAGAACACATTAATCACTATCTTCTTACTTATAGCTTTAAATACAAATCATATTAGTTTTTATATAACTTAAGTTTGCAGATTTTGGGTTTTAATAAGTTTATTTAAATTACTTACTGAGAAGTTTAGAAAACACACATTGCTTAAATGAAAATTGGATTCATTTTGGGCCTTTCAATTATGATGCCTAATCAAAATTTGGCTGCTTTGGTGGTGCCTTGTAGAGTTCTCCGTTCTCCATTTCGTAGAACAATGGAGTTTACACTTTTGGCCATTGTTTGACTGGTCTGAATAGATTCGAAGTTGGCTTCGGTTTGCTTTTGGTCTGGTCCGCTGAATTGCCTCTCGATTAATTTCACGCTTGTCAGCAGCACTGACACGCCCAGTTGCGCCCCCGCGCCCCCATTCCAGTGAGCCACCGAACAAGAACAAGCGAACCACCAGGAAAGCGCCCTCCGAACCAACCGAAACCACCCAAACCACCCAGTGGAGCAGAAGCCAGCGAAAATACGGGGAGTGTAACAACGCCACAGCTCGGCAGCAAATTTGCTCTTCATTAGCGACCCTCGCTGGCCCCGCCCACTGCCCTGTCCGCCCCCTTTTAGCCACATCTCCCTCCCCACACACGCACACACACATACACACATACATACATGATGCCTTAAGCATGAGCGTGCCTTTGGCTTTGATTTTGATTTTATTAAGTCAATGACACATCTGCGGTCTCCATGAAATCCCAGCACCCCACCTCTCAGCCATCAACCACCCACCACCCACCACCACACCAGAACCCACCCACTTTGGCTCCACCCCTTCCATATATCTTTTTGCCAGTCCACACACCCCCATCCTCTTGTTCTTCATTCCGCATTTAACGAACTGTAACTGCTGTCAATTTGCAGTCGCTGACTTTTGAGTTTCATGTGTGTAAGTGAGTGTGCGTGTGGGGCGGGGGAAAGCAGAAAAGGGGGGAAGGCCACAAACAAAGACATAATTTCATACATACACTGCGAAATGCATTTGTTAACAAAATGTATTCTAAATATGAAATGTTTACTGATAAATCTACAAAGCTTGGTGGCAAAAGCTTTCCTGTTAGAGGAAATTTAAAATGTTGACCATATTTTTTGTCCATGTAGTAAGTATGTCTGTCTAACCACCACTTCCCCTCCAGTTCTCCATTTCACTGTATATATATATACATATATATATTTGTGTCTGTGCGTGTCACCTGACAAATGCCAAAACGTGACACTTGCCAAGAAATTAGATAAGTTAAAAGTTCGTTGTCTTGGGCAAAGTTCAGCTTAGAGTATCAACTTCTCGGATTCCACACACAGCACACACCCACACACACACATAATATTTGTGTGATTGTGTGGGTATCTGTATCTGTAATTATGGGGAGTATCCATTGCCTACTTTTCTGGGCAGCAAGTTCAGGCGCTTTAAAACTCGGCAATGCAATCACAAAAATTTGATAAGAGAAATTGCTGCGTTAAACGCCTTCACTTCTTTTCCCATTCTCTTGATATATACTAATACATACACATATATATCTTTCTCGCTGATTTTTCTCCCACTGCTGCTGATGATGATGATGATGAGCCGGGGCAGTAAAAACTTTGGCCAAGGAAAATGTAATTAAATGCTGATGAAGCTGTGGCGTTTGGCTGGGCGGAATGTGGGGAATGTCGAGGTTAAAGGAGGGGGATGGGGAGGGGGGGGGGCGGAATACCAACCGGGGAGCAACTGGGCAACATTGTCGTCTTGGGAATGCCGCAGGGAAACGGGAAGGTTGGAGGTCGGACAACTTGGGTCAACCAGCGGGCCAAAGGTTCAACCTGCACGAGTTACTCAATTTCTTAATTCAAACGTGTTGAACACAGTGGCTTGTACACTGCAAAATAATTGACAACCTAATGTTCCCCATAAAATATACAATTACTTTCACTAACACAACTTTAACTAGCAGCACTTATTGATGAGGTTGTGGCTTTTTCTTTTAAACCGCTGTTAAGCCATAAAGAACTAATCGCCAAGCCACCAAGCACCGATAATTATATTATTATAAAATATTTTCGGTGGAGAGCTGTGCATGTGTGTTTCAGGGGAAAGTTACACGAGGGGGTGGTGGGACGTGGGTGGGGGGAAAACACAAGGTGAGCCAACAGTCCAAGCATTAAAACGGCCCGAGCGTCCCATTTCAATTAGTGTGCATTACAAATGAAGTTTGGGAATAGCGTAGCAGTCGCTGGAAAACCAGACGACGTTACTCAGACCCCCAGGGGGTGTGGCAGTGAGTGAGACAGTAATATTGGGAGTGAAAGGGAAAGAGAGAGAGAGAGAACGAAGTATTGCCAGCGGAGGCAATCAGTTTGAACTCTGGAATTAATAACTATTTGGCCAAGCTTTTGGCAAAACTTGATTGAAAATTTGAAATTCCCTCACAAGAGGGAGATGGCAATAACCGAGCGAGACGGAGCATAACTTCTCAAAACAGAGGGAGAAGGCAAGTTGGCTTCATCTTCATCTTCGTCTTCGTCAACATCATCATCATCATCTTCGTGGCTCATTGAAGACATAGATGAATGATGGAAATAGTTTTTGGCTCAAAACTTTTATCCCGCCGGAGTTTTCCTATTAAAAATTCATAATTTATATTGCCAGTCAATTGAAACTTCAAAGTTAGTTTGCGGGTACGCAAGTAAAACGTACGCAAGCTGCTTGATTCTCTACTGGAAAAAAAATATTTTATAGTCAGTATACAAGATATATTTATTTTATGTATTTTGGAAGTAAAGATCACATGAATAATGCAATCAGATGATATCTTTTTGATGATATAAAAAAAAAGAATATGAGTGTTTTTTGGAGGCGACGACCTTACTCTAAATTAGAATTCCGTTTCGCTAGATCAAATGCAATATAGCTGATGGCCTTGCCACGACCACGACCACGCCCATTACCCGCAGCGCCCTGCCCCCCGCCCCTCTGTCTCTTGACATTCGCTGTGAGAGCGCGTGTCCTTGCCACTTGGATGAACGCGAGGACTTTACATTCGGTTTCGCATTTGCATTTGCATTTGCACTTGCAGCTTGCAGCTTGCATTTGCAACTTGCCACCTGAGCTAAAACGGGAACTTGATTGTTGCCACAACCACGCACGCACACTAATGCACTCACACACGCACACATACATACGTACACATATACAGATGCAGTCAGCAGCATTTGTGGATATCCTTTAGGCCTTCAACCCATTTCCGGCCTTTCCGCATTTAATGGCTTGGACATTAGGCTCGACTGAACCCCCCATCCCCATTTGCATCGCATACTGTGCTCATGCGGCTGAAAATCCGATCAAGAAAAGCTGTCATAAGCTTGTCTTTCTAATTTCATTTATTTATCGCGAAACATACTTATTTGAAATGCAAGTATTTATTTACATTTTATTATTTTTGCCACTATATATAGGTATATTTATATACAATAATTGAGAGTAAACTTTTTAAGCGAGAACAGCTACGTCAAATCAATGTTCATCGTTTTGATGGACAATAAGGAGCAGCATTAATAACAGTCTCTGCAACTGGCACTCATCAAAATGCTGTTCTTCCCTTCGTTTTCCCTTTGCAGATCTGCTCATCGAGATGCTGGGCGTGTTGGCCAGCTACAGCATAACGGTGAAGGAGCTGAAGCTGCTCTTCGGGACGATGAAGGCCACCAATGGCAAGTGGCCGCGCCACTCGGCCAAGTTGCTCAACGTCCTGCGGCAGATGCCACATCGCAACGGACCGGACGTGTTCTTCAGCTTTCCGGGCCGCAAGGGATCGGTGAGTGTGAACAGATAATGGCTCAGCTAAAGAGATAATGGATATAGCAGGGGATCCTGAAGTATATAAAAATCGTAAATCTTCAATACAAAATAGGGGGATCCTTTGAAATGTAACCCCTTGAAAGTTCGTTAGTAGGTTCATAGTTTTTTTTTCTGGGCCGCAAGGGATCGGTGAGTGTGAACGGATAATGGCTCAGCTAAAGAGATAATAGATACAGCAGGGGATCTTGAGATATATAAAAAAAGAAAAATCATTAAATACAAAATAGGGAGATCCTTTGAAATGTAACCCCTTGAAAGTTCGTTAGCAGGCTCATAGTTTCTAGATACTGAATTCTGCAATTCAGGCCATGTGATGGCCAGGATTTTGTGTTATTGAATGCAACTGGCAACTGGTAGTCGGCAACTGGCAGCTGGCTGGAACAAAAGGCTCCTGTGCCGATTCGATATGGAAAGAGGTCCCCCGGGGTGACTCCCCGTCGACATTTCCGGGGGGCTTTTATTTTATTGCGTCGCACTTAAAACGAATTCGAAATGTGTTTTTCCCAGCCTTGTGTGTGTGTGTGTGTTGCATGTGCTTTTTTTTCCGTGTGTGTCTATGGGTGTGTTTGTTATCTACGAGTTTGACCGGTCCACGTTCTTCTTTCCGTTTTTTTTTTTTTTTTTTGCCATTTTGAGGGGGGAACACTCTATCGACGTGTCCATCGGCCCATAAACACATAAAAAGTGCCATAAAGTGAATTGGAAGTCAAATGCGAGCATCGCACGAAGTGAGCGTTTCGCAATTGTCGCAAAATGTCTAATAAATGGAGGCTAGTGGTGGTGCCACCCATCGAGCAATCCAATCCACCTATCCACCCATCCAGCAATCCACCGCGCAATTCCCTCTCATTTTCGGTTTTTCCCCTTGTGTGTGTGTGTGTTTTCCCACGCATTTGGCTCCTTTTTAATTTTCCGTTTAGCCAGCCTTTTTTTTGCGGGGGGTAGGGATGAATGGTAACAGCATTTACTATCCAACATCCACTTAACCGGCGAAAATCACCCGCCCACTTAACCGCCGATCAGCGATCCACAAGCACGCCTAATGCCATTGATGGTGCTGATTGCAACGGCAACGCGATGACGACAACGACAACGACAACGACGGGACTCGATTCGAGTAATGAGATTTTCGGAAAAAGCCAAAACCCAAAATCACCAGGGCGCCATTTCAGTTTCCTCGCCCCGCTGCGGATTTCCCCACTTCTGTTACGGGAAATGGGGGAAAATTTCGGGGAAAGGCGAAGCGATGGTGCGGGTGGCACGAGTGGTGCAAAGTTGCCGCCTGCAACCGCAGCAAAACTCCAACAGTGTCAGCCTTTGTCACGTCCGCCTGGCCTTAACCCATTTAGCCCAGTTGGTCTGGTCGGTTGGTCGGTCTCTTCTTGGCCCCCAAAAAGTGGTCTCCATGTCCCCACTCGAGCTCGAAAAGGTGGGACCACTATAAAAGTGCAAAGTAAATGAAATTTGATCTTTGCGAGAGCTCTAAATAGTTGCACAGAGTTCAAGAGCCCAAAGGAGATTAAATAAACTAAGCGACTCAAATTATTTGAAAGTAAATAGATTTAATACACTATCAATACAAATAATGTAAGGGATGTACATTTAATCAAATTCCAAACAACATTCCACTTCAATTAACAACATTTGCTAGTTAATTATTTAAACTTTGAAATGCATAATTTAAGAGACTGTCCGAAAAGGAAAACAACGAAAGAGAAACTCTGTTGACTTGGCCATCAGATGCATAAATATTAGCCAACTGATTGGAGATGAATAACCCGATGCCTCAAGCCGATAATGTCGAGTGACAGTTGCAGAGAAACAGAGTTAGGTATTTTCTAAACGATTATCGCAGAGACAGAGCGAAGTGCATTGAATTTATGAACTGCCAGCAGAATTTCACCTGAGCTGAATTTCATCTTAGATACTTCCTTTTTGGCTAACTTTGTCGACCAGAGACGTAAAGCCACAGCACTGATGATAAATCAAATGTGCTCATTTCCTTTTAATTTCAGTTCATTTCTGTTTGCGGCTTCTTCTCCGTTGAATTCCCCATCGTCGGGCTTTCCTTTTGCATTTGCATTTGGGTTTGCATTTCTGGTATGGCTTTGAGGTTGCCACAGGAAATACATTCGTGTGTAGTTTGCGGATTGTGGAATGTTGTTCCGCCAGTTTCTAAGCCAGTCGAAAGTATTTCCCTCTGTGATTTAAACATGTTGCCCTCGGCCATGGAATGTTCTGCCTTCGGGTCACTTTTAGGTTTGTTTGTTAACGGGTGAAGTCAATTATGCGGCTTATTAGTGTTGATTGCCGCCCAAGGAATCAAATCGTGTTGAATCGGGTTTCCAGCAAACTGACCATAATTAATAGTTCACATTGGGGACCCTCAAATTTGGCCCTCAAATTTGACTCGGTAATAATCGGTTTTCGGTCTCGTTTCATTTTCGGCTTGAATAGGCCATGGTCCTGCCGCCGTTGGCCAAGTGGCCCTACGAAAACGGATTCACCTTTACCACCTGGTTCCGCCTGGATCCCATCAACTCGGTGAATATCGAGCGGGAGAAGCCCTATCTCTACTGGTAAGTAACTCAAAAGAAGTGCCTTAAAATGCTTTGAAAATCAAATCTTGTTTCTTTAGTTCTTTAGAGAACTATGTATCTATATCTCTTACTATCTATTCGATATCTCCTTCACATTTTCAGCTTCAAGACTTCGAAGGGCGTGGGCTACACGGCGCACTTTGTGGGCAACTGCCTCGTTCTCACCTCGATGAAGGTCAAGGGCAAGGGCTTTCAGCATTGTGTCAAATACGAATTCCAGCCACGAAAGGTAGGATTATCCCCCAGCAGACACTCTTCACTCCTCAATGGGATTTGCCTTGATTTGGGTTTCCTTTTCCTTTTCCGTTTCTATTTCTGTTCCAGTGGTACATGATTGCCATAGTGTATATATACAATCGTTGGACGAAAAGCGAAATCAAGTGCCTCGTTAATGGACAGCTGGCCTCTTCAACTGAGATGGCCTGGTTTGTTTCCACAAACGATGTGAGTATCAGCGTATCAATAAGTCATAAATATTTATAAGACGTGTCGGCCATTCTGTGCCATATAAGGCCATTAACTCAAGCTTGGATTATTCACTTTAATAATTTATAAAGTGTGCTAGGGGATTTTATAACTAAAACATTAGCTATTAACTCAAGAGCATCTAAAGATATTCCAAGCATTTCAAATGCCTTAGAATAGAAATGATAAAGTCATGCAAATTTTCCCTTTTTAACACTCTTTTTGAACACCTTTTAGCCCTTTGACAAGTGCTACATTGGAGCCACCCCCGAATTGGACGAGGAGCGCGTGTTCTGTGGCCAAATGTCGGCGATCTACCTTTTTAGCGAGGCGCTCACCACGCAGCAGATCTGCGCAATGCACCGCCTGGGGCCCGGCTACAAGGTAAGTAGTAGGTCACCACCCACTCAGCGCCCACCCACCTTTAGCAAAAAAATTAATAAAAAAAAAAAAAAAAAGAACAGCGATGGTCAAGCGCACGCACCACTGCACCACTTTTTGCACAGCCGAAAAACAAAAACCGCCGCAGCAAAAATGTCCTCGTCTGTACAGAATAATGTCATTTGTTCATATATGCCGTTTCTCTTTTTTCTTTTCCTTTGCTCTTTTTTCTCTCTCTTTCCGTGTTTTTTCTCAACTTCCTGTCCGCCGCACTGCTACAAAAAAATCTACTACAAAATGCACCATACACAACAACAAAAAATAAAAACCAACCACATTTCAAACGCTGTGTAACAAAAACAGTCGCAGTTCCGATTCGACAACGAGTGCTATCTGAATCTGCCGGACAATCACAAGCGGGTGAGTCACTTTCAACTTCTGCCAGCGACCTTGGGTTCGTCATCGCTGCCAGGGGGCGGCGGCGGTGGGAGTGGCACCGGCAGCGGCAGCGATGCAGCAGCAGCAGCAGCTGTTGCCGCGGGTCAGCAACAACAGTTGCAGCTGCAGTTCCAAACGCTGGCCGCCGAGCAGGAGGCGCGTGCCATCGATTGGTCGGATGAGAAGCTCGATTTGAACGCGGCCTTTGTGAAAATACGTGCGGTTCTAACCGCTCGCAATGCAGTGACCTTGGCTGGCAGCAGCAATGGCAGCGGTGGTGCAACTGCAACTGCAGTAGCCGCAGCAGCAGCAGCGGCAGCAGGAGGAGCCACTGCCGCAGGAACAACCGCTTTGCCATCAGCGGGGGCAACACAAGGCGATGGCAGCGATGCAGCCGCCATGCAACAGCAACATGCAACACACCATCATCATCCGTCGACAAGTGGCAATGCGGACGATCCGCTCGGCCATTTGCCCACTGGAAATGCTTCTTCCCTTGGTATTTACACCCCACATTACTTTTCGTTTGCCTTTTGATTTGATAATTGTTTTTGTTTTGTTGAATGTTTCATTTGGGGAACCCCCCGATCAGAGCAACTCCGTCGAATGTCCAGCGTGAGCAGCCTGAACTCAATGGTCGCAACCGCCGACACTGAGGAGGTCAACCAGCTGAAAGCTGTAAGCGATTTTTATTTTTATTGCCATCCCTATAGTTTACTCTTAAGTTGTTCTTATTATTTAATTTTTTGTTTAGAAACAGCTATCGTTTTCATTCAATTTTTTGTTTAGAAACAGCTATCGTTTTCATTTAATTGTTTTGTTTAGAAACAGCTATCTTTTTCATGAGAGTACAAAGTACACAAAGTACACATAATTGATTTTGTATTAAGTATGCTCCAAAAAGTTAATCAATTAGAAAGTTTCTGGCAGCAGTTAAAGTTTATCATTAAACCGTTTTGTAGTGCGAAATCAAAGACCAAAAATTTTTGTATTTTGTTGAGAGTAATTAAGAAGTTATCGCCAGCAATTAAATCGATAGCTTAAGTTCGCTTTTCGGTAAATATTCAGGGTTTTAAAGTTGATGGCGCGAGTTTATGCCACTAACAATGGAAGCGAGGGCGAAGTAAATGTAGCGTATAGCTGCTGGCTGGGCAGGTGTCTCGGAATACGGAATACCACTCCCCTTGGAAATAATAATACAAAAAAACAAAAAAAAAAAAAAAGAAAAGGAAAACACCCGGCTTGCCTGGTAGACAAAGGCCAAAAAACACACCGCCCACCGGAGATTGTTGGAAATCTTTGGGCGCGCATGTTCCATATTCCGCTAGAGCATTTTCTATGCCCGTGTGCTCCACATTTCAGGACCCGAAACAGCTATTATGTAGACAGCCACCCACTTTTTACTCCCCGCACTCCCCGCACTTCGCGCATTTCCCACCTTTGTGCCACGTATTATGGCATTTTGTAGAGGAAAAAGTGGGCGGGGGTTTTTCGGGGGGAGGGGGGTCGGAAAAGTGAGTGCTTTAGTTATTTTGAATGTTGTTTTTATGTGCCAAATCGGGAGTTGAGTTAATGGGATGGGAAAACACGGCCACACTCACACTCGCGCACGCAATCACATTTACACACACACACACAAACATTGCGCTTTTAAGGGAAAATGGCGGGGGGAGAAAGGTGGGAGAAAGTTATGATCCCTAGAAGAAAACTGTGCCAGCGAAATGAATGCTCAAAAAATGCCCATTCAAGTAGTAAGGTTTATATTTTTTTTTTGCATATTCAAGAAACCCATTTTGAGGCTTTTCCCGGTTCTTTAAATTTAAATTTGTGGAGTGTAAATTAAGCCATTTTAATTTATTGCAGTATTATGTGTATCTTAGATCTATTTATGTTTCCCCTAATCTCCTTTTAAATAATCCCTGTTTATTTTATTTTGAGCTGGTAAACCTTTATTTTCGTTATCTTTAATTGAGTTATTTATGTTCTTGGTGCTTGCTTGATTTCTTGATTGTTTGTTCTTCTTGGAAAGAACGTAAAGAAGTATTTTTAGCAGCAAATTAGGCAGCCAACAACAATTAATTGTAATTCTGCCACCAGTCCACAAGCACCGGCTTACATATATGGCACACACACACACACACACACAGAACACACACACACTGCCAAAATGCACCAAAGGAGAAGAAAACTCAAAGCTCCAGGAAAATCTGCCCCCGACCAAGAAGCAGAAATGCAACGATGCGTGCTATGTATATACTATATATATATATTCATGAGCAGCATTTCAATAGTTTTATATTTAATACACACACACACACACACACGGTGCCGTTTTGCGTTTGTGAGCGTGTGTGTAAATTGCTATGACCTGGCAGAGTTTATTATAGATTTTCACAGAATTTATCAGAGAACGAGAGGGACTTCATATATAAATTCTTGATTAGCATTGACTTGCATTTCACAAACGCATTCATTCATTCGGAATTTAGGTTTAATTAAAATTCACAAAGCTCAGTTTTCAGAACATGAAAAAAAATGTGTTTCCAATTAAACTGTATGCTCTTTGTTGTTCATTTGTTAACAATTTTTTTTTGCAGACAACTTGGAATAAAGTCAGTGGTTTTAATTACTTCGTTAGGTATTTGAATCTTCGGATTTCCGCACTTGGCTTTTTCCCGCTCACTTGTAAACGTGCTCTCCTTCTCTGTGTGTGTGCGTGTGTGTGTTGTTGTATTTTTCCATCTTTTTTTTTGTTGTTGTTTGTGTTGTGTGCCAGCAGCTTAAAGCCAAAACCAAAACCAAAGCCAAAAGCAAAGCTAAAGACAAAGCCTAAGAAAATGGCAATAACCTGACCGAGAGGCAAAATCTTCGGTGGGTCGATAGTAAGTCCATGGGCTTCATGGGCTCCATGGACTCCATTCTTAGTGTCCAGTGGCCAGCTCGATGCCACTCGATGGGTCGCCGGAAAGCCCGGCCTAATCCCTGCCACATATACAGCCATACTTGCATATTCCCCCGATTATTCATTCCGCCCAACAACAGTCGACTAAATCGCCTCGCTATTTTGTTGCCCACAGGTGCTGTACGATGGCAAACTATCGAACGCCATTGTGTTCATGTACAATCCGGTGGCCACCGACGGTCAACTCTGTCTGCAGTCCTCGCCCAAGGGAAATGTCTCATATTTCGTGCACACGCCGCATGCGCTGATGCTGCAGGTGAGTTCAGTTGAGTAGATGTAGTGAGTAGTGATGCTTGTATTAGTGAAATGAAATGACCCGGGGTCCTGGGGATCCTGGGGGTTCATAAGCCTCCCAGGGAGCATAAATTCCATGCAGAAATTTTACGACACCGGCGCATGCCTCGGCATTTCTTATTAGCTTGAACAGTGGGTTCGTGGGTTTTGGGGGGCTTTGGGGGCAAGCCGGATGGTGGCCAAAATTATTCAATAAATTTTGTAGTAATTTCTTGGGCAAACAACACACAAATCATAAGAAGATGGCGAGAAGGCGGAAGGCGGAAGGAACGGAACCGGGACCAAGAAGCCTGGCCGCAAAACGTGTCCCGTGGAAAATACGGGGCTGATGACAGCTTAGGCGATTAATAGACCTATGATTAAATTGAAATTTGCTCTTGCAGGACGTTAAGGCCGTGGTCACGCACTCGATACACTGCACCCTCAACTCGATTGGCGGCATCCAGGTGCTCTTTCCCCTCTTCTCGCAGCTGGACATGGCCCACGAGGGTCTCGGCGACATCAAGCGGGATCCCACGCTGTGGTGAGTGAAAAATCGAGATTAAGAATATATAAACTATACAAAACATGCAGGGATTTAGTGGGAAAAAATCATTTAAAAGTATGCAAAGTTGAGACAGTCAATAACTAGAAAGTTCCTCAAGTTCTTAGTTCTAATCAACATCTTCTCCTTCCAAAAACAAAAACAGCTCCAAGCTTCTGGGCTTCATCTGCGAACTGGTGGAGACTTCGCAGACAGTGCAGCAGCACATGATCCAGAATCGCGGCTTTCTGGTCATTTCGTTCATGCTGCAGCGCTCCTCCCGCGAACACCTCACGCTCGAGGTCCTGGGATCCTTCCTGAACCTCACCAAGTATCTGGTCACCTGCCTGTCGGCCAACAGCGATCTGCTGCTCAAGCAGGTAAGTCGTTTGCGACATCCCAACTGCCTGCCAGTTCGTTAGCCTATATGATATATACTATATATACAATATATACAAACCATATGATAAATATGTAAGAAGGAACGATCGGATGCCTTGCGGACCACGCTGCGTATGCGCAATATGTCAATGGCATGCCGTACTCTTATTTTGTGATGAATGATGAATGTGAAATGTCTATGTATTATACTATATATATGTTACGATAACTAAGTTCGATCTAAGCGCCAAGTGTTTTTTGGGGGTGGTTTAGCATGCGAAAAGCCCGCCCCTCACCGAAGAATCTCCTTGTGAATTTGATTTACAACTTTGTTACGCGTTCTTGTTGTTCGTTCACACCCGACAAAATCAAAAAAAAAAAAAAAAAAGACACCAAAACCAAAATGAAAACCCAACCCCTCGATTGTTGTTCGGGTGGCATGTAAACCCATCTCTCCAAGCAAAAAAAAAATAAGAAAATCCCAAAAATGATATGCGAATTCTGGTCTGTTGCTTTCTCTGTCTCTTATCTCTCTCTCTTTCTACACACACACACACTTCAATATATATACATCCAATTCTATCTATCGCACTCACTGTGTTTTGCCTTTTGTTGATGATGATTTGATGATGATGATGATGGCGCACAGTTGAACACAGGCCTGCGTAATCCTTTCAAAAAAGTAAACACAACCGTAAACAACTGCTCACATTTCTCGTTATAAGTAACTGCACTTGAGAATCTCTTAAGCAAATATACTCGTACTCGTACTCGTACTCGTTCTATTCGCATATACTCACAAGCATCCCACCCACACGATATGTGTATATATCTAAATACATACATACATACATATGCATATACGTATACGTATCTCCGGCATATTTGTGTTTGTTTTATGCCATTTACCAGTCTGTGCGACCTGGAGGAAACTTATCCCTTCGAAATTGTATTTGGTGCTCATTGAGTTCCATAACCCGCTTAGTTTAAGGATAGAAAAGAGCCTTTGTTCTATTATTCAAGCTGAGCGGAGTGTGGAATCAGGGCGATTGGCATCTGATAAAGTTCGCATCAGTCTCCAAAGAGTCTCAATTTAGTTCACATTTTGGTTGAAAAGATTTAAATTCCATTCTTATTGTTTTATTATTTTGATATAAACGGTTTTATTTTACAAACTTGTTGCATGCACTTCTCGCACAATGTTTCTCTGCATGTAATGTGCTCCGAATAAAAGAAGCTTATTGATTGGCCGATAGCAAATTGTTCCATTCTTGCACTCCGATTGTGATCAGTTGCTGTCATTTGATCCATTTGCGTTCCATTCCGTTTCGTTTCGCTTGCACTTTGCACCTGCCTGGGCACCGCTTCGATTTGCTTAATCTTCTCGAAAAACATAAATGCGATTAATCAAAATTCAAACTTTCTCTAGCCAGAAATCAGCAAACAAATGAAATGCCAAAAAGAAGAAATATTAACTACAACTTAACCGTCTTCTTTTACTTTTGTCTGCTCTCTCTTTCACTCTCACTCTCTATTTCTCTCTCCCCTGCGCTCTCTCTCTCTCTCTCTCCAACTCTGTGTTTCCTGCCACGCCCACCGATCTCACACGTTCCACACTCATGATCGCTTATCCATTCAATCTTCCCCCGCTTCTTTTTGTTCTGATCGTTTATCGATAACACAACTCAAATCCGCCTCATCAACACTCAAACAAATACATGATAACACTTGATTACAACAATAACAACCGAACTATAAACAACATAAAAATCAACATGACCAACAACAGTTCTACCAGGTGAAGCTCAACTCTCTCAAATTCTCTGTACTCTCTGTACTTGCATATATTCAAAATACTATATCCAATATGTGTAACATATGTAAATGTGTTCCCGTTTCCGTTTCCGTTCCACTGTTCATACCGTTTCTTTTCGATTTGTTGTACATTTTGTGTCTGTGTTTAGCGTAATTTGTTGAACATCATCTGTGCATAACTAAGAGTAAACTGGCACCTCATCATCATCCCATTCCCGCCCACATCGATCGATTTGTGTATATTATATAGCCAACTAATTCCACTCTTCATTCCATTTTGTTCCGTTTCGCTTTGTTGAACCGGAGAACCGCAACGATAAACCACATTATCTTATTAACTCTGAGGGAAACCTTGAGCGCAAAACCTCAGTGCCTCCCTCCCTTCCCCCCACCAAACCAACCAAAACCCCAACGTCAATCCCAGATTTTGATTTCGCCTTGGCTTTTTCTGGTCCCCAACCACACATCCACATCCACGTTCACATTCCCTCCTTCCACCCACTCCGTTCCTCACTCAATTTGTTCAATGTGTCATTTGGATAATTGAAGCGAAAGTTGTGTTCACAGCACCGCATCGCACCTTCCTAATTGCTCGCCTCGCATATCTCCAATCCCCCTCTATATATATTCCATTTCCACAATCCGAATCTCCCTTGTCCTTCGCAAAATGAATAAATTTCTGTTGGAATCAAAAAAAAAAAAAAAGGAAAAAAAGAACATGAAAAAGGAAACGAAAAAACCGAAGAGTTGAAAAGCTGCAAATATTTTTCGTGGCACCTTTGGGGGTGCTGGGTGCATATTTTTTTTTACATTCGGTGCACAGCTTTTTAATTGGGAAACTTCTCTGGCAGTCGAGTGGGGTTGGGTTTTTTAAGGGGGCTTGCCAGGGGACTTGCAAAAGAGGGAAGGGGGTGTGAAAACCTTGTTGCATTGTTGCCAGAGAGTCATGGCAACAACACTGACAAACACTGGTTTTGACAATCCAACAAGTTGAGGCGATGGCTTAACAAGTTTTGTTTGGGCCCGGCCAAAAGCAGATGAATGAAATTAAAGCGGATTGCAAATTCCCACTCGCCAGAAGTTACCCTTAACTGGATTGCACTCGGATATTCTGCACACTTCGTGCGATATTTTGCTGGAAATCCATTAAGCCAGCTGAAAGCTTCAATTAGTGAGCTCGATGATTTAAGCTCTTTGTTAATGAGGTTTCCTTTTGAAATCTGAGATACAGGTCAGATAATACAACATTTATGGAAATTAACTTCATATAGGATTACTTAAAGAGAAGTTCGACAATATCAATCGTTATTGGTCATAAAAAGCATTTAGTCATTTCGCCACCATATCTTATATACATTAGCATACCGTGTTAAATACTAAAACAGTTTTATCCCTAACTTATTCTTAGTCTTAACCTTACTTTAATTAGCCTAGCTTAGCCTAGTTATAGTTTAATTTAGTTTAGTTTAGTTAAGTGTTAACCCTGAACTTTTGAAGCTAACCTTATCATGAATACCGGAATGCAATTGTTTGTTTCGTTTCATTTCGTTCCGTTACATTCCGTTCCGTTGGAATTTGATTTTATGTTCGTTGATTGCCGTTATGCTGTTTGCTGCATGTGTTACCCGTTTTACCCCAAAATATGTACTTCTACTACTACTACTACTACTACCCAAAATATATCAACATCGACAACAACAACTCTGACAACAAAAAAATAAAAAAATAAACCGAAACTCATGTTTAACCGTATGTATACCAAAATCAATCTCATAATTTTAAACCTGCACTCTCTGCCCCTTTTGAATATCCACACGCTTAAACCTATTTGCCAACTCCTTACTATTTACTACTTTATCTATCTCGAAATCTATATCTACACACGTACACTCTTCCTTTCCGAGCTTCCCCCACAAATGTTGTCCGCGAGACAATGTCACCCAGTCGAAATGTGAGAGGACAGCATAAGTTACTTGACTAATTCCCCGCAGTTGTTCTGTTTCTCGTTTCTCACGTGGCAGCTGCTCGATCACGTCCTCTTCAATCCAGCGTTGTGGATCTACACACCCGCGAACGTCCAGGCGCGACTGTACTCCTATTTGGCCACCGAGTTCCTCTCGGACACGCAGATCTACAGCAATGTGCGGAGGGTGAGCACGGTCCTCCAAACGGTGCACACCTTGAAGTACTACTACTGGGTGGTAAATCCGCGGGCCAAGAGCGGAATCATTCCCAAGGGACTGGGTAAGTAAATCCGAGAAACTTAAAACATATGTTGGAGAAACAGTTGCTTGAGGGGAAACATTCATGCAACAAGCAAAGACTGAATATTTTTTAAATCATGTCCCTCTTTTATTTTCTCTTCCCTTTAAAGATGGACCTCGTCCTGCCCAAAAGGACATACTGGCCATCCGAGCCTACATCCTGCTGTTCCTCAAGCAGCTCATAATGATTGGCAATGGCGTGAAGGAGGATGAACTGCAGAGCATACTCAACTATCTGACCACCATGCATGAGGTGCGTTGATTCTCACTTTTCTCTCTCTACTTTCCCAATCAAAATATTTGAAAATCCAATTAACTAAATACTCCTGGGTATTGCAACCGGTTTTGCAGGACGAGAACCTGCACGACGTGCTGCAGATGCTCATCTCGCTGATGTCGGAGCATCCCAGCTCCATGGTACCTGCCTTCGATGTGAAACACGGCGTGCGCAGCATCTTCAAGTTGCTGGCCGCTGAAAGTCAGTTGATCCGGTTGCAGGCCCTCAAACTTTTGGGCTTCTTCCTTTCGCGCAGCACACACAAGTTAGTATCGTAAATTAAAATAAAATAATTAAATTAAAACAAACTTTAAACTTTATAAGCAATAAACCCTTTTCCTATCTAACTCATGCAAACCACTTATTATTTATTATAATATATTTCCCTTTAGACGCAAGTACGACGTGATGTCACCACACAATCTATACACTCTGTTGGCGGAGAGGTTGCTGCTCTATGAGGAGTCCCTGTCCCTGCCCACGTACAATGTTCTATACGAGATCATGACGGAGCACATCTCACAGCAGATCCTGTACACACGCCATCCGGAGCCCGAGAGTCACTATCGCCTGGAGAATCCAAGTAAGTGAAGAAGACAAAGCTTTACTTTCAACCCATCAAAATCTCGGTTAATTCGCACATTTTAAAAAACCAAATAACGATCAAGTTCGCATATATATTTTATACCAATTATTCAATTAGGAAAGTAGGAACGTATTTAATCCCCTTTTCTCCCTTCAATTTTCTACCCCCCTGCAGTGATTCTGAAGGTGGTGGCCACGCTGATCCGGCAGTCGAAGCAAACCGAGTCCCTGATCGACGTGAAGAAGCTCTTCCTGCAGGACATGACCCTGCTGTGCAACAGCAATCGGGAGAACCGGCGCACGGTGCTCCAGATGTCCGTGTGGCAGGAGTGGCTCATCGCGATGGCCTACATCCATCCGAAGAGCAGCGAGGAGCAGAAGATCAGCGACATGGTCTACTCCCTCTTCAGGATGCTCCTCCATCACGCCATCAAGCACGAGTACGGAGGATGGCGGGTGTGGGTGGACACCTTGGCCATTGTCCACTCGAAGGTGTCGTACGAGGAGTTTAAGCTGCAGTTCGCCCAGATGTACGAGCACTACGAGCGCCAGCGGACGGACAACATCACGGATCCCGCTCTGCGGCAGGCCCGACCCATCAGCACCATCAGCGGTTGGGAGCGGGAGGAACTCCACCAGCAGCAGCAGAATGGAGGAGCTCCGGCCGGAAATGCAGTCGGAGGAGCCGCCAATCAAACGCAGCAGCAGGCGGCGGTCAAGGGCGCCGTTTCGATTGCCTCCCTGGAGGATGTGCCGCCGGTGGTCGAGGAGGAGGTGGAGGAGCTGGAGCTCGAGGAGGTGGAGATCCAGGAGGGTCCCATCCCCGCCGAGGAACCAAGCCAACCGGAACCGAAATCCGTGATAGCCAACATTTCGGATGTGTACAACGAGCAGATCAAAACCGATGCCACCTGCAATGGCAACCTGGAGGAGGTCGTCGAGGAGAAGGAGGAGGATCCCGTCCAACAGAAGGGAGAGGAGCCAGCAGGCGAGAAGCAGGCGGAGCCCTCCCCGCTGGGAGCATTGAGGGAAACCCTCCAGCTGGGCGACGACATGGATGTCGAGGAATTGGAGCTAGCCACCGCCAAGGATTCCCTGAATGCGGAGCAGCACGTGGCAAGGGTTCTGCAGGCCTCCGAGGCGGCGCTCAACGATTGCAAGTTGGCCGTCGACGATGTCCTCCAGGAGGCGTCCTCTGTCCTCAAGGACGAGGAAATCGAGCTGGCCGTCAACGAAGTGGTTCAGGGTGTGCTCAACAACGAGAAGAAGTCGCTGGCAGACAAGGAGAAGGAAAAAGAGAAGGAGAAGGAGAAAGAGAAGGAGAAGGAACAGCCAAGTCAGGATGTCAATGTTAGCCTGCTGAACAGCAAGAATCTGCTCAACAATAACAATAACAACAACAATAGTCCGAGTCCCACGAACACAACGCCTTCAACGGAAACGGAAATGAAAACAGAAACGGAAACGGAAGCGGAGGTCAATGCCAACGAGATCGTGGACGAAACAAACACGAAAACTGCAAATGCAAATGCAACTGCAACTGAAACAGAAACGGTTACGGAAACAAAAACGGAAAAGAAAACGGTAACGGAAACGGAAACGGAAGTTAAGGCACCGGAAACGGGCAAAGCAAACCCAATAGTCCCCAGCCCCGTAGAAGCAACCAATCAAAAGACTGAAGAAGCAGCCAACAAGCTGAACAACAATGAGAAGCTGGCCGAGATCAGCGCGAGTGGCGAGCCCGCTGCCACGCCCATTGCCACTGTGGAAACGCCCGAGGCGGATCTTCTCCAGCTCTCGGACACCGAATCCAAGCCGGAGGCGAAGCAAACCGAAACCGAGGATCCAGTCGCCGTGGCGGTGAGGGATATTGTCGAGCAGCTGATCGACAAGGTGATCGATGCCACGGAGGCGGAAACGGCCAGCGACACCAAAACGGAGACCAACAACAACGAGCTGCCCAAGGGCAACCAAGAGAAACCGAACCCGAGCTCCGAATCCGTAGCGGATGTGGAAGTGGAATCTCCAGAGAGCTTGGCCGCCGCTGCCGCCGAGGAAATCGTCCAGGAAGTGGTGGAAGCAGCTCTGGTTTTGGCCCAAGAGGAGAGCACCACGGAGGAACCGGAAAAGGAACGAGAAAAGGCAACGAAAGAGGAGGATCTGCTGCAACTGGAGCCAAAGCCAGTTGCCAAGGAGAGTGAGGGAAGCCAAGGTCCGCGAGGAACCCAAGTCACAGGATCTTAAGTCCGAGGAGCCCGAGAAACCCGAAGCCAAGGAGCTCCAGCCGAAAGCCCAGGAAATTCCCAAGCCAGAGGAGCCAGTGGTGGAGATTGTTAACCAAGTTCTGGACACGCTGGTGGATGAGACCATCAAGGCGGTGGCCGCCGAGCAAACGACCCAGACCTCACCCGCGCCCGAGGAGCAATCGCCAAAGATTCTGGCCAAGGAATCGCCGGTTAGGGTGAAGCCCACTGAAGTGGACTCCACAACGCAGACAACGCCCAAAAACGAGGCGGGCTCCAGTCTGATAGGTGGCATCGAAGAAGTCCACCACCAGCACCAGCAGGGAATCCCCGAGGACGACGTTCAGACCTCCACCATCGAAGCTGAGGAGTATGCTAACCAGCCGACCCATCCAGCCGAATCGGGAGTGGAGAACGCTGGTGGCCAGCAGCAAATGGAGGCCAATCACTTTGGCCAACAAGGGAATGGAAATCCGGAGCCCAAGCAGCAGCTGCGCTCCAAGTCGGGATCGACGCGACCCATGTTCAGTCCGGGTCCAACGCGTCCGCCCTTCCGGATACCGGAGTTCAAGTGGTCCTACATCCACCAGCGACTCCTCAGCGATGTCCTCTTCTCGTTGGAAACGGACATCCAGGTGTGGCGCAGTCACTCCACCAAGAGTGTCCTCGACTTTGTCAACTCCAGCGAGAACGCCATCTTCGTGGTGAACACGGTGCACTTGATTTCCCAGCTGGCCGACAACCTGATCATCGCCTGCGGCGGATTGCTGCCGCTCTTGGCCAGCGCCACGTCGCCAAATGTGAGTATTCTACAATTGCGTGCCTTACTTTCAACTAGAGAAACTAGAAGATACTATAATTTAAATCTATCTTTGCTTCGTTCTGTGGATAGTTTTCAAATATTTGTAATCTATACTAAATCCAATCCAATCTGAATCCTTATCCCCGATTCGTTGACAGTCTGAACTGGATGTCCTGGAACCCACGCAGGGCATGCCTTTGGAAGTGGCCGTGTCCTTCCTGCAGCGATTGGTCAACATGGCCGACGTGCTGATCTTTGCCACCTCCCTGAACTTCGGTGAACTGGAGGCGGAGAAGAACATGTCCAGTGGCGGCATCCTGCGGCAGTGCCTCCGCCTCGTCTGCACCTGTGCGGTGCGAAACTGCTTGGAGTGCAAGGAGCGAACGCGTTACAATGTCGGCGCTCTGGCGAGAGACGTTCCGGGAGCGGCGCACTTGCAGGCCCTCATCCGCGGGGCTCAGGCTTCGCCGAAGGTAAGGCACACCACCATACCCACCCTACGAATCCACGTCCTCTAAGTCCCCACGTTTCGAACAGAACATTGTCGAGTCAATCACCGGTCAATTATCGCCCGTCAAGGATCCCGAGAAGCTGCTCCAGGACATGGACGTCAATCGCCTGCGTGCCGTCATCTATCGCGATGTGGTGAGTGTACACATATTATTTACTATTTCTATACCCATCCTGAGGGTATTATAAAATTGCTCAGAAAAAAAAAGTTTTTTTGCAATATCTCAGGAAGTAATCTTCCAAATTGGTTTTCATCAACTAACTAAAGGATCGATTAAATGACTATTAAATTAAACTCGGTTTACTATTTCCTTAATATTTAAATAATTTATCATTAAACAATATTTATATTCCCCTATTTTCAGGAGGAAACAAAGCAGGCACAATTCCTGTCGCTGGCAATTGTATACTTCATATCGGTGCTGATGGTTTCCAAGTACCGTGACATCCTGGAACCGCCGGCAGAGCCGCAGATCCAGCGCCAATCGCCAGTTTTGCAGCGCACCTCAGGCGGCGGTAAGTGCTGACAGCCAGTTGTGCAACCATGACCCTCCGAAATAATCCCCCGATCTCGGGTACAGTCCCCGGAATTGCCAATGTTTATCTTATATTATATACCCATTACTAGAGATGATCTTTTCTGGGACAATCGAAACGAACTTCTGCCAGCGGCAGTCTTTCCGTTTCATTCTCATTTCGTGTTCCGTTCAGTTTCGTTTCACGTGCGTTCTTTAGTTGCATTGCGTTTCGTTATCGTTATCGTTTCGTTTTCGATTTCCGTTTTTGTTTCGTTTCCAGATTGATTTCCCTTCTCTTGCTGCACCAAAAACTTCACGCTCGTTTATGGTTTAAACTTCTGGCTCTGTTTTCGATTCGGCCGCTAGTTAAAAGGATCTGTTTTATATATATTATATAAATATTTATCGACTTTCCATTATTGTTTCCCTTATCTATTTGTTTGATTTCTCATATCGGTTTCGGCTTGTTTCCGCTTTTAATTTGGTGTTCTGTGTTTTTTTTAACAGCTGAACAAGAGTTTTTTAAATGGTAGATGCCACCCAATGAGAACTGTTTTTAATCCACCTTAAAGCCCTGGACCTTCCACCCCACCAACCACCGCACTCTAACCACTGGACCACCCGCCCCGATTCCCCTCTAGAAATCCCAACATGTGCGTGTGTGTGCTTCCTTAAAAAATACGTCACCTCTCCCACATCATTGTTCCATACACCCACAAGAACCCAAGCCCCCTAATCCACAAGGCCCCCTTTATTACAATATATATATATATTTAAATATATATATGCATTTATATAATCACTTACTGTTAAGAACACAAAAATAAATCATGTCTGTTCCATTGTTGGAGATACTATTCGGTTTTATGTTTCCTTTTCTTTGTTCCGTTTACCGATGATTTCATTTCACGCTGCTTTTTCGGATTTATTGTACAAAAAAAAAAAAAAATAAAACAAAAACTAAACAAAAACCAAAAACAAAAAAAAAAAAATTACATAAAACGGAAAACTGATTTTGAACCAACCAACGAACACCTCGCCATTGCCACACAACCCCGCCCTCAAACATGTGTGTAAATATTATATCAAAACGAAAAATCTTAAATCGCAAAAACTTTAGAAGCCGCCAGTGCGCGTCCCTTGTTTCCCCAATGGTCACATCATGTTTACCCGCAATTCCTGCCCGAATCGCACCAGAATCACAGCAGCAACATGCAACACCAGCAGCAGCAGCAGCAACAGCAACAGCAACACTACTACCAGCAGCAACAGCAACAGCAGCAGCAGGTTGGTCACAATCACAGCCACCATCACATGACTGCTGCTTACTACCAGCAACAGCAGCAACAGCAACACCAGCAAGCTGCTGCTGCCGCACAGCAGCAACATTCGCCCACTCCACTGGCCACACATTCCACAAGTTCATCGGCCAGCTCAACGGCCACATCTCAGCCGGCTTCGAGTTCCTCGCTCTCCAGCTTGGCCTCCCAGAGTCAGCAGCAGTCGCATCGCCAGTTGCACAAGCAACAGCAACAGCAGCAGCAGCAGCAACACTATCATCCGCATCAGCCGCACTACGGCCTGATCAATGGCCATCAGCAACATCAGCAGCTGAATGGCAAGCACTCGTACTCGGAGAATGGCTCCTCGACTGGATATCATCCCCATTCGCATCCCCATCCGCATGGTTATTTGCGAAACGGCGAGTCGGCGGCGGCGCAGCAGAACGGCATTGCCGACTACCAGGCGGTCGGAATGATGAACGGACATGGCTCTAATCCGTCGGGTAATAACAACAATGCCAGCCTGATCAACAACACGAGGAATTTGAGGAATGGAGGAGGTGTGGGTGGAACCGCATCGCCGGGAACCCAGGGAATCCAAAGTGTTACCGGAAATCCGGGCGCTGTGAATGCAAATGCTGCTGGTGTTGGCATGGCCGTGGGCGTGGGCGTGGGCCTGGGCATGGGGGGCGTGGCAGGGGGCTTGGACGGAGGCGTGGCCTACAAGACGAGCGCCATAAATAATAATTATCGCTACAATGGACGCAACGCATCCGCTGGAACAGGTATCGCTCGTTCTCGACTGTCGTAGAGTTACTTAATAGAATTACAACTTCGCACTTGCCTAAAATCTATCTCTATATATCTGTAATCCGTAATCTGTATATAACTATCCGTAAAACTTAACTGAATAGCCATGATCCACTCAAGAACTAGTAGCTCAAATAATGTGTTTTAAAATCTCAACATAATTTTGCTTTCTTGAGTGGCACATCGCTATACATTTTTCAATATATTCTTAGCTGCTAGACTGTTGCTAACTTTCTTGCCTTTCCTTGCAATCCGTTAAAACTTGATTTGTATTCGATTTTGGTTTTGATTTCAGTCTGTTCACTTGCCTTTCATTTCCTTGACTTTCCGAACTCGTAGTTGTATGTATATATATATTATAGCCGCTCTTTGTGTATAAAACACTCACCCACATAAGAACATACTAAAAACTTAGTAAGACTTGGATTTATGTAAATACTCTAAACCAACTTTTCTGCTACTTTTAACCTATTCGTTGGGTGTATGACTGTGTGTGAGTTTGGGTGTGGATTTGTGTTATTGTTGTATACAAACACACACTCATTATTCTGGGATATATGCTTTATTTCAGTTTTGGTTCTCTGTTGTTTGGTTTTTAATTGGTTTTACAAATAAATTAGTTTTCCATCGAATTCAAATTGTGACTTCACACAAAAAACTATTAATCTATTCATAAAGTTTGGAATTAGCTTTGCTAGGCGCCAGCGAATTATTATTTTTATTGTGAATTTACCTATTCGTCTCTCTCATTCAACGCATCAAGCAAATAATCCTGCTTAATTAGAGCAGTTTCCCCCGTTGAACTTTGCTTTTTCCCTATTTTTGTTTTTCTCTAATTATCTGCTGCACATTGCACCAACCATTTTTATTTATAATCCAAAAAACTGTCAACCAGCTTTCGTTGCTAGGATTTTTTCGATTTTGATTTGATGTTTTGCATTGGAAGATACCAACACTCAATTGCCCATGTGGGAAATGCTCTTAATTGTGTTTCTTGAATCTTGTGTATGTGTGAAAAAGGCTGAAATGGTGTAATTGACTAGGCCAAAAATTCTCAACTGGACAACGGTATCCAAATATGCTTTTAAAAACTGTAATCTATCTTTGTAAAACTCGCACATGCACACAGTGACAGCTAGAAATTTTTTGACACGTTCGGGGCTCTTGGACTTTCTCCCCCCTTTCTCCTTCATTTTGTCCTTTTTTTCTGTTCGTCATTTTTGTGCTGTCAGCAAAAATCCATTTCATTTATCTTCATTTGCAATACACTCTCACACAAACACTCTCATACACGTACATATACACACACACACATATATATATATATTTATAGGCAGAGTGAAAGATGGAAAATGTTGAGCACTCCCTCTGAATTTCCCCACTTCCCCACCGGCAATGAAACATAATTCGTTAATTTTACATTTTATGAAAATGAATTACACGAAAATTATACAATTTGCCATTCATACATGGCTCTCTCTCTCTCGTTCCCTGTGTGTGTGTATGGGTATGAGTGTGTGTGTGTGCGTGGGCAAGTGTGAGTGCGCATAAAACATTTCGCAGACAGGCCATAAAACGGCATTCGGCACGCCTGCATTTTAAAAATTGTAAAAATTGCCATTGGACATGGTCAGGAAAAGGCCAAGGGAAAGAAGGCAGAGAAGGCCCGACCAAAAAAATGGTTGGCAGCAGCTCTTTATTTCCATCTGAATGGGCAAAATACCCTGTAAAGTAGAATAAAAGGTCAAGTTTATCCAAAGAAAAAAATCACTTAGATAGAAATAGAGGAGATCAGAGTTAATCAGCTTTTGAATTAATTTTTTCAATGCCAAGTAGACCGGAATTGTGAAAGTTATGCGTTTAATTGAAGTGTCTTATTATCATTATCATTTTTTTTTTTGTGTCTTGAGAATAAATTTTCCCTTATCAAGCCACCTTTTACGCAATAATCAGAGGACACTCGCTGACCATAGATGCTTTTAACACAGCCGAGCTGCAACAACAACATTTCCATTACGAAATTAATGGCAGCGACAAAAATGTAAATTAGTCTCACCGAAAAATACGGAGGAAAAAAAAGCATAACAGACTGGGAAAAACTTTGGGATAATTTATGAAAGGACAAGGGAAATACAAAAAAAAAAGGTGGAAAACAGTTTGTACAACTGTTGGAGCCGATAACACGCCCCGACTTCTGTACAAAAGTAATTTGTGGCCAGCTGCCTTTGCATCTGTATGTATGTGTGTGTGGGCGAGGGGGTGTAAGGGCGTGGCAGTGCATGAAAATAATTGCAAAATTAAACCAAAAAAAAAATAATAATAATGAAGCAAGGGGGAGTGGGAACGAACAAGGAGTGCACAAAAGTGTAGCATACTTAACGGGGCCAACGGAACGAAAGAGACGGGGCGAGTGGTTGTAGACAGAGACAGAGAGCACGTGTCGCCGGTAAAATCATAAATTTCAATTAAGCCAGATCAGGACATGGCCAACAGTTGAACAAGGTTAATTTGCAGATAAAAGCCAGAAAGCCAAGTCCAGGAAAATCTTACAAATTATGAGCTCTTAGCTTCTACGCCGGCCTTTTGTATCGGACTGTTTTTATTCCGGCTTTTCGTTTCACTACACAGATTGAAAACTTTCGAAAGTCCAATCCATGCCTTCTTATTTTTGTGTGCACCCCTTAACAGCTTAATCCTCTGTAACACCTTTGTGTGTGTGAGTTTACGTTGGTTTTGATTTCAGTTCTTGTTTCTCTCATTTGGTTTCATTTTTTTCAGTTCGTTTTCAGCTTCGTACAGTAAATTCTACAGATTTCTACTCTAGTATTGTAATTGTAATTGCAACAGCAATAAAAATATTTGAATAATCATGAATTAAAAAAGAAATCAATTATCAAATAGTTAATCCCCTTGTTATTTTTTCTCTTTCTTGAATCGTTCTCTTTGTTTTCTTATCCAGGTGGTCGTCAAATCCAGGACAGTGACTATGAAATAATTGTTGTCGACGAGAATAATCCATCCGTTTTGGCGGACAATGATTCACATTCCAGTGGACCGCCGTCCATAAAGGTGAGTTGTTATATCCACTTGTTTTAAAGGGTGCTTAAATGGATTGATTTAAAGTACACTCATGTACATCCGTGATATAATCCAAGATTTTTCTGCGGTTGCTTGAATTTTTTTTACGAGAGTGTGTGTGTGTGTGAGAGCGAGTGTTGCATGTGAGAGCGTTGCAACAATATGTGCGCATCTTCGATTAGAGTTAATTCATAGATTAAATGCCAACAAAAAAAAAAAAACGACTAAATTTCATTTGCATGTGCAAAACTAAATTATTTGTATGCAAATCAATCACAACGAAAAATGTCACAGGCCAACCAGACAACAACAACAGCAACAACAACAACTACAACCCATATTAACAACAACAACACAAAGACCTCAACAACTACAACAACAACAACAGCAAATGCTCCTACAACAACAATTAAAATTCAACAACAACCATTGTCACCACCAAAGCCGTTGGTGCCACAAAAATTAGCCAAGGTAAACAAAATCCCGAAAAGCAAAAAAAAATCAAACAAATCAAGAACAAAATCAGCAAAATAATTGCAATTGCAACAGCAACAGCTTTCGACAGTCAGTAATAAAAAAAATAAAAAAAAACCACCCACTGCACCACTATGAAAAACCACCGAACCACCCACACGTACAGCTACAAATACATTTGACGCACCCAAAAAACACCCGAATTTTCTGTATATTGAAAATGGAAACTAACATTCGGTTTTATTTTTCATTTTTAGCCACTCATTACGTTTTGATTTTGTGTGCTTCTCGTTTACCATTAATTGCTGTCCCCATATTTGTTGCTTATAGTTTTTGTTTACGCTCAGATTTTGGTCTATCAGTATTTGTCGACTTTTAAATTTATATTTTAGTGGTTTATACTGAGCCAATTTCTTGCTTGAATTTATTTTTATTGCCTTGATAATCATAGAGGATTATTTCGAAGTAAAAAAAAGGCGTAAGAGTGCCATATGACTCAAGTCGAAAGTCAATCAGTTGCGTAATGATTTACTAATTAATATTCTTAAACAGCTGTGATTGTTTGCCTCCTCACCATTTTATTTTAGTTTGACATTTAAATGTGTTTCATTGATTTCTGGGCCATGGGCCTGCAATTAGGTTGAATCCGTGTTTCATTTTGTAATCTTCACCAACAAATCAAAGCACTTAATGAGTCGCACATGCACGCCCAATCCGCTCCGACCGCCCAGAATGCCACTAAAACCACCTTGCGGCGCCTGAAAGTATGCATCATTGCGTATGTTCATGTGTGTGTGTTGTGTGCGTGTGAGTGCTTGTGATTTATCCCATTTGTGTTTGTATATGTTAATGTCTGCGTATGTCTTGTGCAATTAGTGATACATAGCTGTAAAACACACACTCTTACACTCGAACTCACTCTCACATAGAGCACTTCTTGGCTTTTATCGCTTTTTTGGGGTAAGCCCCAAAACTCCACACCCCCTAATGAACTACTACACTCGCATTATTTATGCCCCCCCACACACACGCACACACACACACGCTTAGTGATTAGCTATCGTTTGTATGTGTGTGCGCGTGTGAGTGCTAAGTGCAATGCCACCTCTCTTTCGCTCTACACAAATCTCCCTTTCACACGTACATCGTACATCCCCCCTTAATGAATGCGTGCATATATCACAGTTGACAAGATTGGGGACCCCGGAATGAGGCATGGGTTTTGCGGACGGGGTGCAGAAGCGGGAAACGGGAAGCGGGGAGCGGAAAGCGGGGCAGATGAAATGAAATTGGTATTTTTGGGTGCCCAACCAGGGATACGGACACCGCAACACTCGTGAAATCGAGGGCAAACAAAGGCGATTGATTTCGTGTTGATGACAAGCTGGAGCTACACGCAACAGCTGTCCAAGAGTTTGAGTTTTTGCCCCTCCACCCCCTTCACTAGCCCCAAAAAACCTACATCTCTCCCTAAAGCGGACAACACACGGACACGCTTAGGCGACGACATTCGTGTTGGTGTCTGACAGCTGACATTTGTCAAACGCTTAACAAAATTTGTCATATGCCATACGTGTTTCATTCCACATCATTCCGCATCGATCCATTTCGGTGCGTTCCATTTCGTTTGCCTAATGTCCTGTCCTTCGTAGCGAAATTTGTGAATTTGAGGCAATCTCGACTACTTTTATGCAAATCACTTGACAAACTGTCGCCGCCATGGACGCCGATGAGTGACAGTTGTTGAATAAACAGAGGGGGGCTGCTGGGAAACAGTGGCAGGATTGCCGACGGATGGAGGGGTCGGGGGTTTTAGGGTGATCCCGGTTCGAGTTGATGACAAATGCATGTGTTGACAAAACGGACGGAACGGAGAGGGTAGAACAGCGACGCTCCTTGGGAATTTTGATTTATAGTCCAATGTGCATAATTAATGTGCAAATGATAGGCATACATCAAAACCCACACAAACACAATCCGCCCACGCACACTGAAGAGCAAAAGAGAGAGAAGTTGCACTGGTACCATAAACGATAACAAAATGAAGATAATCGCTATACCAAATGTTAATTTCAACTTAAGAAGTACAACATAACAATTTACCATTTCACTTGAGATTTCAAAGTTCTCATATACGTATCTATCGAAATGCACCATTATTTTATTTCGCCATAGGCGTACATTATTTTGGCGAGTGTAGTAGAGGCAAACCCCCTGTTCGAAAGTGGGAACTCATTTGATTGCTCTTCTAACGAAATCCATGCATATTTTGATTGCCTACTTAATTTCACACCCCTCTTCTCTCAACGAAATCAAAACCCCAAACGAAATCACAGAGCGTCGATTCGGATGTGGGCTCCCTGAACATGAACTCGACGGAGAACGAGGTGCCCGAGGTGGAGTCCTCGAGCGAGATCCTCATCGATGACCACAAGCCGAGTCACTCCAACGACGAAAGCTGGACGGATGTGAATCTCAACGAGGACGCGGCCGTTCAGGCAGCCAGTGCCGGAATGGTTGTCGGCCTGGTGGACAATGGTGGCAACGTTATAACCGACAAGCACGATCCGCACCACAGCAGTCAGTCGCAACAACAGCAGCAACAACAGCAGCAGCAGCAGCAACAGCAGTCAGTGATTATTGGCCAGCAGCACGGATCTCTTGGCCACTCGGAACGAGGTGACAAGCCGGACTCGGAGATCTCGGTGGTGCGAGTGCCCGATGGCTACGGCGGCGCCGGTTCGGGAGTGAATCCCGGCCAGGGACAGGGAGTGGCGCCCTCGCAGCGTCCCCGACCCGAGGAGCTGCCGATGAAGGCGCCTGCTCTGGTGGCCCAACTGCCACTGACGACACCTTCGCGCGAGGCGAGTCTCACCCAGAAACTGGAGATCGCCCTGGGACCCGTGTGTCCCTTGCTCCGCGAAATCATGGTCGACTTTGCGCCCTTCCTCTCGAAAACGCTCGTCGGATCGCACGGCCAGGAGCTGCTGATGGAAGGCAAGGGGCTGACCACGTTCAAGAACTCGCACTCCGTGGTGGAGCTGGTGATGCTGCTCTGCTCGCAGGAGTGGCAGAACAGCCTGCAGAAGCACGCCGGCCTCGCCTTCATCGAGCTGATCAACGAGGGCCGCCTGCTCTCGCACGCCATGAAGGACCACATCGTCCGGGTGGCCAACGAGGCGGAGTTCATCCTGAACAGGATGCGGGCGGACGACGTGCTCAAGCACGCCGACTTCGAGTCGCAGTGCGCCCAGACGCTGCTCGAGCGTCGCGAGGAGGAGCGCATGTGCGACCACCTGATCACCGCCGCCCGTCGCCGGGACAATGTGATCGCCAGTCGCCTGCTGGAGAAGGTGCGCAACATCATGTGCAACCGGCACGGCGCCTGGGGCGACTCCAGCTCCAGCTGTAGCTCCAGTTCCAGTGGCGGTGGCGCCATCGTGGGCGCGGTGCAGAAGAGTCCCTACTGGAAGCTGGACGCCTGGGAGGACGATGCGCGTCGCCGCAAGCGGATGGTGCAGAACCCGCGCGGCTCCTCGCATCCGCAGGCCACGCTGAAGGCAGCGCTGGAGAACGGCGGACCCGAGGACGCCATCCTGCAGACGCGCGACGAGTTCCACACCCAGATCGCCGTGTCGCGGGCCCATCCCTCGGGCCAGCACAACGGCGAGCTGCTGGACGACGCCGAGCTGCTGATCGAGGATCGCGAACTGGACCTGGATCTCACGGGTCCCGTCAACATCAGCACCAAGGCGCGACTGATTGCGCCGGGACTGGTGGCGCCCGGCACCGTTTCGATCACCAGCACCGAAATGTTCTTCGAGGTGGACGAGGAGCACCCGGAGTTCCAGAAGATCGACGGCGAGGTGCTGAAGTACTGCGACCATTTGCACGGCAAGTGGTACTTCTCGGAGGTGCGGGCCATCTTCTCGCGCCGCTACCTGCTGCAGAACGTGGCGCTGGAGATCTTCCTCGCCAGCCGCACCTCCATCCTGTTCGCCTTCCCCGACCAGCACACCGTGAAGAAGGTGATCAAGGCGCTGCCGCGCGTCGGCGTGGGCATCAAGTATGGGATACCGCAGACGCGACGCGCCTCCATGATGTCGCCGCGGCAGCTGATGCGCAACTCGAACATGACACAGAAGTGGCAGCGGCGCGAGATCAGCAACTTCGAGTATCTAATGTTCCTCAACACGATCGCCGGGCGGACGTACAACGACCTCAACCAGTACCCCATCTTCCCCTGGGTGCTGACCAACTACGAGTCCAAGGACCTCGACCTCAGCCTGCCCTCCAACTACAGGGATTTGTCCAAGCCGATTGGTGCGTTGAATCCCTCGCGGCGGGCGTACTTCGAGGAGCGGTACGAGAGCTGGGACAGCGACACCATACCGCCGTTCCACTACGGCACCCACTACTCGACGGCGGCCTTCACGCTCAACTGGCTGGTGCGCGTCGAGCCGTTCACGACCATGTTCCTGGCCCTCCAGGGCGGCAAGTTCGACTACCCCGACCGGCTGTTCAGCTCGGTGTCGCTGTCGTGGAAGAACTGCCAGCGGGACACGTCCGATGTGAAGGAGCTGATACCCGAGTGGTACTTCCTGCCCGAGATGTTCTACAACTCCTCCGGCTATCGGCTGGGCCATCGCGAGGATGGTGCTCTGGTGGATGACATCGAACTGCCGCCGTGGGCGAAGAGTCCCGAGGAGTTCGTGCGCATCAATCGCATGGCGCTGGAGTCGGAGTTTGTGTCCTGCCAGCTGCACCAGTGGATCGATCTGATCTTTGGGTACAAGCAGCGCGGCCCCGAGGCCATCAGGGCCACCAATGTGTTCTACTACCTGACCTACGAGGGCAGCGTCGACCTCGATGGCGTTCTCGATCCCGTGATGCGCGAGGCCGTGGAGAACCAGATCCGCAACTTCGGCCAGACGCCCAGCCAACTGCTGATGGAGCCGCATCCGCCGCGCAGCTCGGCCATGCACCTCTCGCCGATGATGTTCAGCGCCATGCCGGAGGACCTCTGCCAGATGCTCAAGTTCTATCAGAACTCGCCGGTCATCCACATCTCGGCGAACACGTATCCGCAGCTGTCGCTGCCCTCGGTGGTCACGGTGACCGCCGGTCACCAGTTCGCGGTGAATCGCTGGAACTGCAACTACACCGCCTCCGTCCAGAGTCCCAGCTACGCGGAGTCGCCCCAGTCACCGGGATCCAATCAGCCGCTGACCATCGATCCGGTTTTGGGTATGTATTTCTCACTGAAAGCCACTCTGAGTAAGTAATTTCTAATTGAGGAACCCCATTCTTTTCAGCTGTCCACGGCACGAATAACAACAGCAACGCGGTGAGTCGAAGGCACTTGGGCGACAACTTCAGTCAGATGCTGAAGATCCGATCCAACTGCTTTGTGACTACCGTCGACAGTCGGTTCTTGATCGCCTGCGGCTTTTGGGACAACAGTTTCCGCGTTTTCGCCACCGAAACAGGTAAGTTCAACAGCTTAGATACAAACTACCATATATGTAGTTAAATTTAATATAAGTTTATCTAAATAGTGTCTCCTCTTTAATTAACCAATTTAAATTAAGTGCAGATTGCTTCTCGAATTGGTAGTCATAATAAATGCAATTACTTTTTAATGCCCACCAGATTTAATACAAAGTGGGGTTTGTTCTTTGAAACTGTATTTGCAATGGAAAATAATTTCATCAAATATGCAAATCAACACCATACACAAGAATTAACCAGCATGTAATTGATAATAATATTAAAGCAATTAAATTCATTATTTACACAATTGCAAGTGCTATTTTTTCAGCAGCAGGTTGCTTTTATTTACATAATGTTCATAAAATATGCAAAGGCAAAGGTCAATATTTTCCTTAATGCGAGCTTAAAACAAAAAAGTAATAAATCATTTTGTTAAAGCAGGAGTATTTATTTAAAACAAAAACTTTTGCTAGCTGTTTCGCTTATTTTAAACTACAATTTCAACTAAAATGCAAAAATGTTTTCTTTTTTTTTCCTTTTTTTTTTAATTAGCCAAAATCGTGCAGATTGTGTTTGGGCATTTTGGAGTGGTGACGTGCATGGCTCGTTCCGAGTGCAACATCACATCGGACTGCTATATAGCCTCCGGATCGGCGGACTGCACGGTGCTCCTGTGGCACTGGAACGCCAGGACCCAGAGCATCGTGGGTGAGGGTGATGTGCCCACGCCACGAGCCACTCTAACGGGTCACGAGCAGGCGGTCACCTCGGTGGTGATTAGCGCCGAGCTGGGATTGGTGGTCTCCGGCTCCTCAAGTGAGTATTTCCACAGCCACTCGGCCAAGTGGTAAGTCGAATTCCAAGCCAATGTCTCCCTTTACAGATGGTCCGGTGCTCATCCACACCACCTTCGGTGACCTGCTGCGTTCGTTGGATCCGCCGGCCGAGTTCCACTCCCCCGAACTGATTACCATGTCCCGCGAGGGCTTCATTGTCATCAATTACGACAAGGGCAATGTGGCCGCCTATACAATCAACGGCAAGAAACTGCGCCACGAAACGCACAACGACAATCTACAGGTGGGTCTCCTTTCCTTCTTATGATTATTATTATATTATATTATACATATGATATTATAAAATTTCTTAGCTTCTTCTTGTTATGGTCATTTCATAATTATTTTGTAAATGTTTTTGTTGTTTGCAGTGCATGCTGCTGTCGCGCGATGGCGAATACCTGATGACCGCCGGCGATCGCGGCATCGTTGAGGTGTGGCGCACCTTCAACCTAGCACCACTTTATGCCTTCCCCGCCTGCAACGCGGGCATCCGATCCTTGGCCCTCACCCACGATCAGAAGTAAGTCGCAAAAACATTTCTTACAAATAAATAAATAAATAGTAGTTTAGAAACTGTACTTCCAATCAGATAAATCTGTTTAAACATTAATTATAAATCACAATATTAGATCGATTTAAATTTAAAACAAGATTGGAAGCTATCTTCGGCAAGTCGAAGCTTATATACCCTTGCAGTCATCAAAAATGTCGAACAAACAGCACAAAGGCTAAACAACATCAAAGCTATGTCGATTTTCCTATTAAGTTCAAATGACAGCTGTATCGATTATTATAAAAAAAATTGCATAAAATCATTAAAAAAAAAACTTGGTTTTTTGTCTCTCTCTCGGTAAGAACTGATCTGAATATAGAATAGTATACATCGTTGAATTCGTAATAAAATTCTGAATCCGATGACATTCACACATAAAAATGCTGAATTTGGCCCTTACCAAAAATGCGAAAATTGTCCAAAAATCATATTTTTTTTTAATTGTCCAAAAAGTGATAGGGCTCGTTAACTTTGGTCATGAGGTGCTCAAAACTGTGATTGGTCCATAAAAGTGTGAAAAAATGTTGCAAGCATTGTGAGATATATCAATCCGAAATCGGACATCATTAACAAAAGTCATGGTATTTTAGGTGCTGTTTTGTATTATCCTTTTTCATGTCTTGAATTTAATGGTATAGCTGGAAGCTTAGCTATTACAATAGAGTGTGTAGTTGTGTGCTGGGCCTTGAATCCGAAGGTTGTACTAAGTCTACAAGTTAATAGATGTGAAGAGCATCCACGAAAACGCTAACCGCCTAGATGTGTTTGTTTGTTAATGTCTGTATTAATGTATTAATGTATTAATGGGGAGCCAAGCACAGGACGCCGACTACTCTTCGGCGGCTCGGGCGCGGGCCTGGGCGCGCACTCGCTTCTCGTACTCCGGACGGTTCTCAGTGTAGCTGACGTAGGCCTCCGCCTGGGCCGGGTCATCGATGTTCGGCTCGTCGAGCAGGTCCTGGATGGCCAGCAGGATGTCCTTGATGGTGATGTGCGAGCGCCAGTCCTTATCCTCGTTGAGCAGGCCCATGCAGATGGTTCCCGAGGGATAAACGTTCGGGTGGAACACCGGCGGGTAGAACTTGCACTTGGGCGGATAGTTAGGGTAGCCCATGGTGAAGAACATGCGCAGCTTGTAAAGGCCGCCCTGCCAGGGTGTAGACTCCTTGCCGGGGATGGCACACTCCCAGATCATCAGGTTGCGGGTGCCATCAGGTTTCTTGGTGGGTCGGGCCACGAAACCGGAGGGGTGCTCCCTTCGCCACGCCTTGCGCTCCTTGCCCAACCGCTTGATTGTGGCCATGGTCAACTCTCTGGTCCTCTGCTTTCGATAGGAACGGTTGGTGTATTCTGCAAGTCACGCTCTTAAGCTTTCGGCGATCCCTTTGCTTTTTTGCTTTTTCGCACGAGCGTCTGTCTTCTCTTTTGCGGTTTACACTTAAAGGTGCAACGAAAATGCTTTTTTTTTGGCCTTTCGCTGACGATTGCTTACCGTTTTCACAAATTCTAGCAGAATTTTCGTAGAAATGGAAGGCTGGTGGTCGCAAAAAGTCTAAAACTGTCACTGCGAACGGTCGCTCTCACTTGGTTTCGATAGTTAGTGTCATTCGATAGTTATCGAATAATAACTATCAGTCATAACACGAAAGAAAGCTTCGGCAAGGCGAATCATATTACAACCGAAAAACCACTCAAAATATGTATAGTGTTTTTTACCAAAATTGTCAACTAATAATTTCCGTCTGCAAGGGTATATGATGATATAAATTTATCTTTCAATTTTTGATGAATGCTTTCTAACCTTATTTTTTCCTCCCTCTTTTTTTTCTTTAATTTTTTCCCTTTCTTTAGATACCTTCTGGCCGGACTTTCGACGGGCTCGATCATAGTATTCCACATCGACTTCAACCGCTGGCACCACGAGTACCAGCAGCGCTACTAAGTTTGGACACTTGGACATTCCAAAAAACCCCGAAACGCCAGTTAACAAAGGCCAAGAAAACGAAAACGAAAATGGAAACGGAAACGGAAACAGATACTGAAATGGAAATAAAATATGGAAACGATCGCAAAGCAACTACAATGTACTTAACAAAACGGCGGCAACGACGGAGGATCGGTTTTTCTATATAGACCTTTACAACTCTAGGCTAGTAAGCGAAACTATGTTTTTTTTTGTCTAGTATTAATTGTGCATTAGTGTGTGTTTTGGCCAAACGAATGGCAGTCGAAAAAAAAGTAAGAAAAAAAAAGAGAACGGAACAGAACAGAAGATGAAAACATTTTTTTTACTAGTATTAACGAAATGTATGTTAAGTTATGGCAAAATGGAGGAGTGCAAAAGGAAGAGGAAGAACGAGGAGAAAACGACGGAGGAGGAGGAGAAAGCAGAAGAAAGCTGGCGGCTTAAGTAAGTAGTTGAAATAAGACAAATGAAGTTAGTGTTTATAAAACGCAATAAGCAGTTAATAAATCTAAAGTAAATCTAAACCTAAAGCTAATTCCACATGCATTATAATACCAACGTAGCAAAAGTTGTCATAAAATTTAAACAGAAGAAACAAAACAAAAAACAAAAAACGCTGCGCAACGCAAATTAAGGCAGAAAATAATGAAACTAAAGCGGCCAAAACGGAGAAATGTGGTAGAGAAAGCAGAAAGCCAATTTTTAATTATAGCGTTAGTTCTTTGTGACAAACACACACACACACACTCACACTCCAAACACACCGCAGACAAATACACACTCACTCACACAAAATAAGGTAACCAAGCAAGGACAATGCCCAGGCAATAAAGCTGATAAACAAAAAGAAAGAAAAGAGAAAGAGAAAGAGAGAGAGAGAGTAAGCAGAAGTGAGAGGAACAGGAAACGGAAGTGAAGTGAAAAGCAGATACGAGATATTTTAGTACACACAAGCATATGTATTTGTAGCTAAACTAACACTCAATTTAACTCCCAAAAAAGAAAACGCTAACTAAAGTCTAAACAACCACTAAATTATCAACACTGCTAAGAGCCACAGAAAATAATAAATAAACAAAGAAAAAATATATAAAAATGGCATTTTATATATATATTAACATACACATATTCGCCAACGGAAGCGGAATATGCAAAACTTATTCAAGCGAAAGGCAGCGATTTCGTTGTTCGTTCTCGTTCCACAAATACAAATATCACGCATACGCCATGCTGCACCGCCCGCTAATTTCGAAACGATAGCGAAAACAAACAAAAACAATCGATATAAAAATATAGTCTATACATACATATATGTATATTCTTTTTTATTGTATTTTTCTTCAATTGTTTGTTCTTTGTATTTTTTTTTTAGCTATATTTGCTAGGTAAAAGTGAGAAAATTTTCGATTGCGTCCAAAATTAGCCTATTACCCCCCACACGTCACTCCCCAAAAATGAACAATTGGCTTCCTCGAAACAAAACCAATCAGCGTACGTCCACGATGAGGTGTTTTATATATATTGACCGCAGATTCTGCCTTTGATTTTCCCGAGCGATTAGCAAACCAAAAACCAAACAATCCATCCATGGCGCACCACTCTGGCACTTACCGATTAGATTTGTATATAAAAACGAGAGCTAAGGCAATTAACTATAACCATACTTCAAGTATATATAGAGTTTATGAGTAAAAGCGAACACATTCGGTTGTAAAAGCGCAAAAGCGATACAAATTGAATCAAGTCCAGCTAAAAGAAAGAAACCCTCCCCAAACAAATTGGAACCCACTTTAACAAGTATCGTAAACAAAAAATATGTTGTGTGGAACTGGAGAAGCATCCTGTTCCATAGATAAGTATATATATCCCCAGTTCTGATGTTGTGTCTTGTCCGATTTGATCTGAAAGTCGGAGAAAATAATTTAGACAGTTGATTTTCGATTTATTCATTTTCATTCCCCGTGTGCTTTTTTTTGTCAACCATTTTTAACTTACACGCCTAGTTAATTCGCTTTTAGTACGGACTGGATTTCTTCACTCTCTGTATGTACATATTTAAGAAGCATTATGCAAATAGCAGCTAGAACGCTATAAAAGAAGAACCCAGACAAATACCAAAATTAAATAAACACTTAATAATATTTCACGAGCAAGAGCAAATATTTAATTTCCCATTATTGTGTTTCTTTTTTTTTGTGTGTCCACGAGAGTTAGTTAAATACACAGGGGAGAAGCGAAGGTGAGGAATAAAATTACAACTATTAGTAATTTAAATGTTGTACATAAATTCATGGAGAAGTGTCCTAAGAGTAAAGTAGTTTTAAAGCCCAACACGATGCCCGGAAACCATGCATCCGAACGGAAAAGAGGAGGGGAAAGGAATTCAAATCAAATCAAATTAAAGGAAACGCAATGAAGCGAAAGCGGAAAACTGGAACTCGTTGCGAAAAACTCGCACTCTGAGCAGTAACTACATTTTTTTTTATCACACAGCCGTGTGTATCTATATATGATATGGGATAACAAGTTTATCTACAAACTGAGAGAATACCGAATACTTGAGCATTATCTGCGGACGCCAACAATTTTTAATTACGCACTTTTTATAGAACTTAGCGATGACGAAAAGTTAAAAAAAGGAAGGCGGTAGTCGTAATAACATAACATACATATAAATAAATTACATAACGTTTTTATTAACGAAACAAAAAAATGGCTGAGAATTTTAAATTTATACAAAACGAAAATAACAACTTCACAAAAAGTAAAGTTAAACGGAAAATAAAAAATACAAAAAAAAAAAAAGAAGAAAAACAAATATTTAAGAATTTACTCATGCACGGGCGAAAATTATTTCATATAATTATTTACACTGGCGGAGGACGGCATTTTAAAATTAGTGAATAAACCCGAAAATCGCAGGCAAAGTTAAAGCTAAAGACAGGCACACGGAAACACACAAACACGATCGAAATATATATAGATATACATGTGTATATATATTTTGTCAACATTGTTAAATAGCAGACTAACAAACAAATGAGAGCCAAAAACAACAATTTAATCTATTCAGCAGCAGTAACAAAAGCAAACGCAAAAGACAGCAAAATACGAAATACAAAATACAAAATACAAAATACAAATTACAAATTACAAATAACAATTATAAAATGCAAAATACGCAAAGGGATAAAGCTACGAAATAAATGTTCATTAATATTGCTACAAAGAAAAACGAAACCATTTATATAAATAGATATATAAATATAAAAATATTTTTTTTTTGCAAAATGCGTGCATTGAAATTGATGAAAACGAGCGAAAATTCAACACATTAAATAATAAACAAAGACGGGAAAATTTAAAGCGAAAGGCGACGAAGCGGCAAAGGTCGAAAGGTTAGCTAGCGAGGGTCGAAGGGCAACAATTTATGCATATTAAAATTAAATTTAAAATACGCTACAATTCTAACAAAATAAGTTTACACGAAAACAAAAACACAAACACACACCCAACATTCACCCCTAAAAAAAGACACAACTTATAATTAAACCGAAAACGATTAAACTGCATGGAAGTAATTAAAGGTCGCGCGTTGAAAAAGCGTTGAAAAAATTTCAAATTAAATTTAAGCTACAAATTTAACAAGCGAAAGTGAGCAAGCATTAAAAGTAACAACAAAACGAAACAAAAATTATTATGTTCAATAAAGAAAAACCAAAAATGCAAAAGAAAAACAAAGGAGTAAAAAATACAAAATAAAACCGAACAAAAACAATGAAATCTTACAAAAAAAAAAAACAACAACGAGTCGAAATTTGTTTTCTATTCTGGCGCATCGATCGGTAAAGTCAATTCATCTTGGCCAAAGTCCCCGCTTTCAGCTGTGACCTGGTTTTGCCATTTCTACTGGCTTGCAATAATTTCATTTTCCCAACAATTGAACAGACAGAAAGGAAAATCCCAGTGAGCCACCGAAAAAAGAGAGAAGGAAAGCAGTAAAGTGGGAAAGCGGGAAAAATGAAGGAGCGAGACAACAATTCCATGGGCTAAGCAATTAAAGCGCCTCGTTCGCGCTCCTTAGCTCCTTTTTGCACGCTCCAATTGCGATTCCAGTTGCTGTTGCAATTGTGGAAGCGGAGCGGAGCGGGGAAGGCGGCAGAGATAAAGGAAAAGAGCAGGGACAGAAGAAAAGGTGAGTGCCATTCGCTAAGGACAACTTTGGGGGCAGCTGTCTAAACACGGAAAATGCATCAAATTGCAACAGCAGCAGCAGAAGCAGCAGCAGCAGAAGAGGCAGACGCCATCCACGTTGTCATCAAAAGTCATATCTCTTTCATATTATTCCAGCTAACCACCCAGCAGCCCCACCAACCACCGCCCACCGCCCACTGCTCCTTCCACTGTGTGTTTTCTGGAGCGTGTAATATCCGTTTCCTGCATTTCCGGTTGCAGGCTACAACAAACACAACAACAAGGAACACAGGACGCAGGACGAAGTAGCAGCGGGAGTTGCCTGAAAATTGCTAGCGGAAATGCTGCAAAATTAACGAGCAACGCGGTTTAGAGAAGGGGCCGCCGCATCCAGGTGGCAGTCAACAGGCAGAGACGCCTCCACTTTCTATTTGCCAGGACTAAAAGCAGGACTGAAAAATAAAACCAGGACCCGGCCAAAGTAAATGCAAACAATTTTTCACCCACTGGCACTCGGGGTTTTATACCCTCGCCTAGCGCATCATAATTGTAGACAAGGTAAGACGGGGCTCCAAGCTTTTAAAATTGTTTAATCAATTCTTGAAACTTAGTTAAAAAGCTTGAAACCTGTTTTTGTACTTTGCGGCGTCATAAATTGATCATAAAGCAGCTCATAATTTGGTAAAATATAACGCTACTTTTGTTTCCAAGTTATTTATTACTTGAAGGTATAAATTGGTTGGATTTTCAAATGATAAGATTTAAATGATTTATATAAGATCAAGTTGAAATTCTTAAAAAATACAAGAGTATTAAAGATTCGTTTGTCATTTCTTAGTCCGTTTTTTTCTTGTTCTTCTCACTTTCCTTTTTGGGTTTTGTCGCGCTTGGCAAAATGCAAATTTCTCCCGGCCAAAAGTGGGCGTGGCAGGCAGGAGGAGCCGTCCAGCATCGGCAGCATCTGCAAATTAGACGCATCGCTTAACCAGCAATGACATAAAGCAGCCAAGTGGCAGCAACAGCGCTAACAACGTCCTGGAGTCATCATCATCATCACCATCCATCGCCTTCATCATCAAAGTTGTGGGTTCTAGAAGTCCAGTTTTGGGGCAATTTGCTGAAAACCATTGAAAACTTGGAAAAATCTGGCATAAACAGGGGTCAAAATTTCGACCATCGGAAAATACGAAATTTTGAATGCAGTTTTATGAAGGATGTGATTATAAACGTTAAGCGGTGTGCCACTTTAGAATCGGATTAAAAATGAAACAATTTTGGATTCTGGAACTCCAGTTTTGGGTTACTGTCATCTAGTTTTAAATCAACACACGAAATGCTGAAGAAAAGCATAACGAATTTGGTCCCGGACGGAGATCGAGATAATAATGGAGATGGAGTTGGAGAAAAAAGGACACGAAATGGAAAGCGACGAGAGAAATGTCGCAGGACAGTTGAGGGCAAATAAAGCATATAAAATTAATGAGCTCGTCACGTTCTGCGTTTGGCCAACTGGTTCGGGGTCACCTTAATTATGGCCACAATTAACAGTTGCTCCTCCACCAGCAGAGCAGCAGCAGCAGCAAACGGAGGCACAGACAGAGACAGAGAGAGAGAACGATGTTGGGTGCGAAAGGGACGGATGGATGGCAGGTGTTGTATCGTCGTAGTTACCATATATACATATATGTGGACGTGGATATATCAAGCTCTCCGGCTCTGCTCCTCTGTCTGTGTGTAATCTCATTACAAATTCAAATGCCCTGCATCAGCTGCCAGCCAAAGCAGCACCAGAATAAACCGCCACTCAGCCACCCATCCACCCAGCCACCCATCCACCCAGCCACCCAACCACCCAGTGAACCAGGGAACCACGGAGCCACCGAGCCACTGAGCCACCCATTAATTCACCCATCCATCCACCCCTTTTGGCTGGCCAGCACTTGACGGTGTCCGCCTGGCAAATGTTTCAGACCACGTTGTCACTCAATTATGTGCCATGTGCGCAGAGCGTAGCATACTTTTCAGCACCACCCAACTACCCAGCCACCCAACCACCCATCAGCCACGGGCAGAACCACCTGCTCCACCTGCTCCATCTGCTCCACAGACTGTACCA